TCTTTTATATGCTCTATATGTTCTATCACAAAATTTTTTTGTTCTACATTTCTTTTGTCTTCATTGAGTCTTGCAGAGGTCAGCATATTTCTTTGACTTCTTTGAGCCTCTCTTATTCTTTGTTTCTATTTAACTTCTGCTCCTAAGTCTATTACTTCCTTTTTTCTTTTAAATTTCTTTAGTTTCATCCTATCATTTTTTTTCTTTAACTGAAGATGAGAAGCCTGATGACTTTCAAGTTGGTCTCTTAAAAGCATTGTGGAGTGTAGGAACAAGCAATGGTTTTGAATCTCTGAACCTTTAAGTTTTCTCATGACAAGAAATATTATTTTAAGCATAAACATTTGTTTACTATTGCTCTAAACAAGACTAAATCTCTGGAAACAATTAGCCTATGGAAGGCAGTATGGTCAGAAGCAGCACTCAGACATGCACACTTTGCTCTGCTCTGCTGTGGAGTCTTCCTGGCTCCCGAAGGCCACCTGCCACAAGACCTGTGCTATACAAAGGGTAGAAGAGTGAACACGGAGGTCAAAGAGCACAGCCACACACCTAGTTCCTCTACTTTTTTCAGTAACTGGGTAATGACATTTTTTCAACTTTAGTAAGTATTCCTCAGGGTAGATAAGCTAGGAGACCATCGCTGTGGGTATGAGCTGTAGAAGGAAACACTGATTTCTCTACAATGTTCCCATAATGCTTTGGAAGTAATAAGCAAAACTGTGCAGGTCATGTACATCATCTGCCATGCACTCTGCCTGTTTCCTCTAAATCCACGTAAAACCAATTGTATCCAAAGGTTATGGATTTGCTCCTTGTGAGTACAAAGCCAAAGAGCATGAGCAGAAGACAAGAGCATGGAGAAGGACTTACTACCCCCATGAGTAGGAAGACATTGGATTCTCAGCAAAGCAGTGCCCTCCCTGGAGAACAGAAGTGTGGGGGTCCCATTCTGGGAGCCTGTAGATACTCACTTTAGGGTCAGGGACATTCCTGAGCATGGTTAGCTCAAATCATATTTCAAGAAGAGAAGATGTTGGTTACATTTCTGGTCATTCTCAGCTCAAGACCAAAGGGCACATGATGAACGCATATTCACAATGGTTCATATGAATGTTCTAGGCATACTCAATTCAATATTATGAAGAGGCAAGTTTAGTCCAAGAGCCTAATAGAAAAAGTTAGAGTGGCTCAGTGACCTTGGAGAGCAAGGGTAGTTCTTAAGTGTCTCCAACAAAAGAAAGCATGCCTGAACATGCATTAATATAGGAGCTTGCCCTGAGTGCCTGTCTGGCTTCGTGGCCAACACAACCACACAGTGGAAAGTGAGCCCAGTGGACAGGCATTAGGCTCTCAGCAAAGACCCAGGGCTGCCCAGTCTGCCTTGAGGTTTCTATCAAAGTAGCACTGATGAAACTAAACTGAGTTTGCTTTGTTTTGAGGGGTCAGAATAGATTAAAGCCCACATTTGTGAGAGCATATAGACATGGGGCTTTTCCCATTCCTAGTCACCTAACTTATCTTGGTTTGTTCATGGGCATTTTGACCATATCCTTGACTTGATCCTATATTAAGAATAAAGGAGAAAAGTTCGTGGAGAGGAAAAATAACAAAGGGGGACTTTCCTAGAAGATCTTTGTAAAAGGAACATTTGCATAAGCCATATTTAACCAGAATCTTTGTTTTGTTCTTCCTTTCTGAATGCTTTAATCTCCCTCCCTGTGCCCACACCCCACCCGACTGGTGAGAGAACAAAGGCGTCACCGTGTTTCACAGTGGAACCTCCCTGGCCCATCCTCATTGTCATGCTGGATAATTACATTTACTGATCAGTCCCTCCTGCTTCCACTTCTCTCATCCTAGATGCTCAGACATGTTAATCTTCCCAGAATATGGTCACAATCCTGTCCCTCTTTCGCCCAAGTTTTCCCAGAAACCTTGGCATGAACTCCACAAGCGTTGGGCTAGAATTCAAAGCTACTGCATGTCACTTTCATAACTGTGCTCTAATCACCCCTACCATCTGCCTGTGACCTCAGAGTCTTTGGCTCAGGTGCTCCACTCTCCTGGTTTCTACTTCCTCTAGGGTCCCATCTTGACTCTGGATCTTGCTGCCTTTTACCTAGTGGTCCTGTCCTGTGCGCTCCACCTGGCCTGACTTTCCTCCCCCAGGATGCTGCCTCCGAGGGCAGAAGCTCTGCCCCACGTCTGCACCAGCTCCGACAACACTTTTTTTTTTTTGCAATAGTAAAGGGTTTTTGGTTGTTTGTTCTTGTGTTTTAGAGTTTTAATTCATCCCACACCTTAGGTGTCTCTTCTGACTGAAATTGCTCATGTTATTTGTCACTCAACAACTACTTTGACCACCTGTTGTCCTCCTGATAAAGGGGCCAGTAATGAGAAGCTGAGATGAAGAGACACAGCCTGTTCTTTCCAAATGCTTTCTGGGACGACCTTTTTTAAGTTGGAAGAGGCCACAACTTTTTTTTTTTTTTAACTACCCATTTTGGCAAAAGTGTTAGAATTAAATAGATTTCGAGTCACTTTTAATTTTCTTTTCCCTTAGCATTGCACACACAGCTCTTCCATGCCACCTCTGCTTGCTCCTTCAACACTTGCTCACCACACAGGCGCCTCCTAGGGATACGGACTTAGAGCAGTTCCTTATTGGCTGGGGATGATAACATCGTAGCCGGGGGTTGACTGCTTCTGGGGACTGTAACCCAGAGGTCATGAAGAACTTCGGCACACCCTAAAGTCCAGATACACTGGGTTTAAATACTACTAATTGTGGAAGCCCCAAACCCTAAGAGTTGTTGAAATTCCCAGAGAATTTTCATGCTTACCTTCATGTTGATTTTCATGTAAATATTTTCTTAGTCAAGATATTTTGTCCCCATGTTGACTTTTGTGGCTCTTTCTTCATACCTAGTTTCCCAAAGTAAGGAAGCCACCCCTTCAGGGCCACCTGACTGCCAGCCCCTGCATGTGTAAAGGTTCCCAGAAGGTTAATACTGTGCTGGGAATCACACCCCTTACTCTCAATTTTATTCCTAGGCGCAGATTGCCCCACATGATCTATAATTTCTCACGACTTTTCAACTTCTTTTCTTTTTACCTCCATTACTTTCTCTCTTCTTTCCTTCTCAGGTCCTCACAGAAGCTGTTTTCTTACACAGACACCTCACTTCCACACTAGCACTCCTTCAGTTCCCCCCACACTGTGGACTCTCACCTCTCCCTTGAAGGCTTCTCAGGAAAAGGCAGCTTTCTCCTGAAGCCTTTGGAGGCCGACTAAGATCAGTTTCAGATAATCATAGTTTTAAATGACCCCACTCTTATCATCACCATGGAGACGACTACTGCTAATCCATCAGCACTGGACACACCACTAGCAGTACTGCACTAGGACAAGCTTTGTGCCCAGATGCAGGGAAAGCCCAGTCCAGCCACACTCTGTTCAGGGCCCCCAGGGAGGCTGCGTGCGTCAGGAGATGTTGGGAGCCCATGAGATCAGCAGGACCACGGGACAAAGGAGGTGGAGTTTCGCGATCACTCCTGTTTCCCTGTCCCTCTCATGGGTTGTGGCTGCTTGGTGATGGCAGATTTTCTTCCTGTCTGTTCCATGGCACTTGTGGACAATGGCTAAGTCAAGAGGGAGAAGAGAGGCAGCCAAGAGGCACGTCAGCTGTCAGAGAGCAGGAACTGGGGGAAACATGGACGCCTGAGGATAACTTTCTAAACCACACACACCTTACTCCCCAAAGCAGTCTCCACTGGGGTCCTTGGCTCTGATGTCCCAGTGAGGGCTGCCAGAGCAGGCAGTGAGTCTGTGCAGGTCGTGCACTGCACAACTTCAGGGTGCCCCGGGAGCCACATGAATGTGAATGACACATCCTTGCAGCTGTACAAGATGGAGAGCCTCTGGCACTAGCCTTTGCTGTAATGCAGAACCTGAAATGACTCTGGAAGGGAAAGTGCAATCCTTACCCAAAGCTGCTTCTCTTAAGAGGCACAAAGTCATAGGAAGGCTGGTCTGGCCATGGGGCAAGGAGGTATTTCTGACTAGGTTCTGATGGAGCCTGTTCTCTCCTGAGAATCCAGCCCTGATCAGGTGAAGTCTCATCGCATGCCATGGAGAGAGGTTTGCTGCAACTTGCCCTAAGGGCGCACTTTCTGATGCTCTCTCTGATTCATTTGGACACACATCTACCGAGGGTCAAGCAACCAACTGGACTTTCTGGAGATCTGGCACAATCTCTGCCTTTAAGGAGCATCCAATTTTATTGGAAAGAAATCAGAACATATTACAATTTTAAAAACAGACTGGGTTAGAAGTTTAGATCATACTTAAGTCCAAAATTGCCCAGTACAGACTGACCTTGTAGAGGGACGCCAGGGAGGGGAGACTGCCTCTGGCTGGCCAAGGTGAGAGCTAGTGAAGAAGGAGGGCAAGGGGGGTGCTGCCAGGAGTCTAAGGGCTGGAGCAGGAGGTGGTAGGAGACCTGGGGCAGGGGAAGGGGCATTCAGCAGGAGTCAGGGAGTCCCTCTCCTGCACAGCTGAGGAGATGCCACCTGCAGCCAGCATTTCAGTGAAGCTTCTTGTGTGTTAACAATGGTGCTCAGAAAGAAGCAGGGACTCAGACGTGTGGATGGGTCTCACAGGAAGAGACAGAGGCACCCACGACTTCCAAACAGCTCTGGCCATCACCGTGTCCCTTCCTTTGTTTGGTGCTGAGATGCTGCATGTGGAAGTTGGCCAGCTGAGAAGGGAGATGGCCGAGGAGGCGGGCAGGCTGCAGGTGGCTGGATAGGAGGGCCTCTCTTACACAGGTGAGCTACAGTGCAGTGGAGAGCCCCTTGAGCAGAGCCCCTTTGATTTAGTGCAGTTGGAAAGCATCAAACATCAGTTGTATGAATTTGCCTTAGGAGTGTCCCCCCACAGATACATGGAGGACAGAGGAGACAAAGTTTGATCTGCAAGAAAACTGATGCCGTAGTTGCATATGTAGAAAATTTTTGCTGTATTTGTCATTAGGTACAGCATTTAGCTGAAACAAGAGTTAGCAAAGAACAATCTCAGATGTCTTAGTATTCCATAATAATTCTTTACCTATTTTCTTATTCGTTTCCCCAAATAGAAGATATTAAGATACTGAGCCATATAAACACCTATGAGGGATAGGAGCCGAGGGATGAATAAGGGACTAAATGTGAGCAGATGGAGCTGTTGCCACGTGGAAATCCTTTTCAGGTGCACTGAAGAAAAACACTGCATCCTGGACACAGTGAATGCCACCATGCAGGCCTCTTTGAGGAAGGACCAAGGAGTCTTCAGTGCCTCAAGAGTTTTCTTTCACAGAGGGTCGATTAGTATGGGTCATCCATGCTGGGAAAAAAGCACAAGAGTATAAAATTGCAAAAATTAAAATGTTAATAGCAAAAGTCAATATTCATTAGTGGTAAGAAGAGGAAAAAGGAACTTATTTCAGCTGGAAATTTTGGGCAAGATGTGGACCATTTTAAGGCAAACAGGAAGAGTCCTAGAACAGCAGTTCTCACTTTCAGGTTAAAATACCAACTCTGATCAGTAGGTGGGTGGGGCCTGAGGTTCTGCATCTCTAAGAAGCTCCCCAGTGATGCTCATGCTGCTGGTTCACCGACCACACCTGGACAAAGGCCTGTGGTTCAACCCTTGTCTCTAGATCCACTGAGTTTGGAGCTAATTGCAAGCCAGGGAAGTGAAAGATAAAAGGCAACATGCTCAACTGGGAAGTTAAATCAGAGAAGATCAAAGCTCAGGAAGGGAATGGAGGTAACTCTAAATGCCTGATTATGGTGGGATAAGCCTTACAGAGATGTTGACCAATTTTGTTTTCTGAAATAAATGCCACATTTTTGTTGTGATACAACTCTCATTCTTGGAAAGGATGGTTGAAACCAAATTTGGTACATCTTAGCACCTTTCAAAGGAGAACTATATTCTGAGGCTCTGGTCTCATGATGAACTGTCAGGGTAAACCACAGTTCAGCAGCTGCAAACGTGCTCACCAAAAGAGATAAAAATGTTTCTGAAAACATGGGCCCACATGTGCCCTCCTCTGAGGTTGGCATCATATCTTCCTGTATATCTTGGGTGTAGCTTTCACTCAGGTAGAATTTAGACACTAGAAACCAAATGAGGTGGCAAACAGAACCAGTTTGCAGAAGAGCCAAAATAAACAGCATGAATCGAAACCACAAATGCCCAGAGAGTGCTTCATTCACCACCCAAAAGGTAATAGGAATGTGCACCAAGAACTATGAGAGTCAGCTCAGGACTTAAAAAATGACACACAGGGTATAGTGTGATCGCTTCATTGTACTTTAGGTTTGTTCTGGAAACATGTCCTATCTTTTTCACCCACCCTTCCTCAGCGCCATCACACAATGGTTTAGTGTGAAAAAATGTCACATTACTGGAAGAGGAGGGCATCTTACCACTAGACTGACAACTTTAACCTGGGAATCCAGAGTCCTGAGTTCTAGAAGCACAAGAACATGCCCTCTGGACCCAGGTGCAGACCAGGCTCTGTTCTGCCATTTAGCCTAGTGACCTCAGGCTAGCTATTATACCTCCCTGTGCCTGTCTCTTTACTGTCAGGGGCTATTATTAGTATCTTTTCCAAAGGCTTATAGGCAGTATTCAGTCATTTTGTAAGTAATTCTATCAGCAACATAGAATTCATATTTGATAAAAGTTTGACTCTGTCGCTAGCTCAAGGACTATAGGAGAGTTATTTAATTATAAGCTCAATGATGAATAGTTTGGACATTATGCTTACCAACATTCTTTACATATTTAAAATTCAGTGATTCTATGAATTAAGGTCACTGTGGTGAACAATGGAAGGTGTCCTAAGGCAACTGTGCAGTTGTGAGGTTGTTCTAGAATATCTGGGGAAGCACTCAACACAGGGGGCCATTCTTTGCTCCCAGCTCCTCAATAATACACAGGCTCCAGCCAGCTCCACTCACTAGCCCTGAGCATGATCTCATGCTTACATCATCATGTCATTGTTTATGTCATTTCCCTCCTTAATGTCTTCACAAGTCACTCCATAAATCCAAGCCTATCCGTCCTTCAGGAAACACCCAGGCTCCACCTTCTACACACGTTTTCTGTGTGATCACCAAGCCCAGTGGTCTTTCATTTTTAAGATACAAAATTCAGTAGTCATTACTATACTATGCTTTGTAGTCTTCTGATTTTTTATATATTTCTGTCTTGACTGCCCAACTAGATAATAATAATCTCCCTGAGGTTAGGGACAAGGGATTACTCCTCTTGGTTGCTCAGTCAAGCTTAGCACTATTCCAACATGAAAGTGTTCAGTAAACAACTTTTAATTGAATCACTGTAAACATAATCGAACCCTTAAACCTAATATGGCAATTTGCTTAACTTGATAATTAACTTAATGTTAATACTCTGCCATCCAGCAACTCTTTTTGTCCCTCACGGACATTAAAAAAAAAAAAAAATTAGAATTGATCAGCTCCACCCAGTGGCAATTAAAACAGGTGGTTCCTGTGGCCAGAAAAAAGCTCTGGGTAGATTGCACCAGAAAAAAAAACTTTCACTCAGTGGGTGGGAGCATGAAAGAAATCTTTACATCTTGTGGGTTTCCTGCCACAGAGATAGGGAGGCCAGCCCCCAAAAGAGACCCCTTTCTTATCAAGATGCCTTCTACACAGTTGAAGACAAGATACAGTCATCAAGCAGGAGAGAAGACTCTCCATTGGCCTATGTTACTGTCCAGTTAGCTCCACAATCCTCCTTCAGAGCCAGACTTTAAATACAAAACACATGTTCCACCTCCCCTCCTCATCCCAATGACTCCTCAGCCTTTTGCCCTCTGACTTCATCTTGTGTCTGCACTGGGAACGCTCTCCCAGGGATGCCATGTTATAGCCCCTAGAAACTTGCTGTTCTTCCAGCCACATTGAGACTATTTCCATTTTCTTCTTCCCTAGATTTGTGGCCCCTGAGTCTCCCTCCCCTTGCTTGGGCCCGTCTCCTTCTCCTCCTTCCTTAGCTGACTTAGATACTGATGCTCCTCTGGCTGCCACCCTCTCCCAGGTCCTCTTCCTTTCCCACGCTCCCACTGTCCCTGGGTTACTGTGCACCTTCCTGTGATGGCCGTCACCTCCTGAAATGAGAGAACCCCCAAATCCATATCTCCTGCCCTTTGTGCTGGGAGAGACCCAACACACTGTGGGTGACCCTCAGACACCTGAAGCTCAGCATGTACAAACCTGAGCTTGAGATCTTCACGTCCCAAATTGCTCCTTCTCTTATGTTCATGTCTCAGCGGTAAACACCCCCCCCCCCAGTAGTTCCCAGGTCGGACTCAGGCAGCCTCTTTGACTCTTCTGGCTCTCTCTCTCTCTTGTGTGTCTCTCTACCAATTACGCACCACGTTCAGTTGATCCTACCTCTTGTTGCCTCATGAGTCCAGCCTCACTGTGGTTTCTCCAATTTGAAGATTTAAGATTTAAGACCAAACTAAAAAAAATGTATAGATTGTTTCTTTGGAAAAACTATGTTTAGAATTCATGATCCCAATTTTTTTTCTACATTTCTGAAGATCAGTGCTTATTAGAGTTGCAATTTTCTACCCTTTTGTGTTAGACATTTGAGGCCCTGGGGTCTGGGGATGTATGTTCTTCCTAAGGTCTGGGGTACATTAGTTGCTCAAAAAGTATTTATGGAATGGAGTGTTTCTCAGAGATTGTATGTATTCTCCATATGTGTTCAGATAGGACAAGAAAAAACACAACATGATGCTTCTAACCCTTAAAGAAATTTCAGGGATGATCATGAAAACACCCTTCCTAAAAAAATGTTACTTATACATTTATTCATTCTGCTGCACAAAAAAAAAAAAAGGAGGCTATGATTTGGCACTGTATCTGGAAATTTTATACGTGAGAAACCCCCTCCATTTAGATAACTAGTATGGGGTCAGTGTGACTAGCTATAACAGGAAGTATTTGAAGAGAAGAAGAGTACAGATACGGAAACTTCTCGTTGATAAGACTTACCATTTCTGAGATTTCTTGCCTAAAAAAAAAATAGAAAAAAATGGCATTAACAAAAAGTAGACAATTTCAAATTTTTGAACTAAGGGAGAGGGGATCTGTTCCAACCCTCACGAATGCCTGTCAAGGCCTACCATGCATTTGTTAGGGGGACCTCCATGTATGACGGGAGGGACTTGAGGCTCTGGCTTGATGCTCTAATTCAAACCGTGGCAGATTCTCAAACAGCAGGCTTCTTCCCAAAGGGGTATGGCTGCTGATACTGTAAGAATATGTGCCATTGTATCTCAGCCTCTTCTCAGTGGGATGCACTAGAGATTTTCACTAGGAATTGCATCGAAGTGTCTTGAGTAGCTGACGTTTTTTTACCCTACAGACACAGTGACTGTGGTTGTGATCCTTCTTTTGATTTCCTGCAAGGAAATCTGGGGCCAGAGCCAAGATCCTCTCTTCTCAAGTATATAGGATTTTATGACACACAGTTTTGTGTCCTAACTTAACCCTCGGTTCCCAATCTTTTTAGCTAATTTTATTTGCTATGTTGGATGCATTTTGTCAACTGTCTTATATGCTTTTGGAAAAAAGCAGAATATAAATAAGCAAATTAATGAGTGATCTACAGAGTTGGGGTCTGGAGGAAATCAAGCAAAAGAAAAAGAAACAGTGAGCTCTTGGAAGAGACAGAATCATGAGGGTGGGGCTGCACGTTTCAGTGGCTGTAAACTGGCACACTAGAGGCACCCCACCCAGGTGCAAGCCCTATTTTGCCACCTGTGTGTAGCGTGGTGTTTTGAACTCGTTCTCTGTAAGCCACAATTTCTTCATCTGTAAAAGGGGGACAACGATTGCTGCTTCCTCAGCAGCAGTTATGCTGGTTCAAAGCGTCCAGGCCAGGGCTTACCACAGACAGTGCTCACCTACTGTTTTAATCCTTTCAAGTGTCGGGAATTATGACTTTAAATCCTTTCTGCCAAAATCAGCCTGCTGATGACATGGGCCAAATTCACTTGATCAGGGAGAATCAAGTCTGAATTAACTTCAAGTTCCATTTGTTTATCTTCATAGAAATATATATTTTTTTCTTTTAGGAACAATAAATCAACAATAGATGACAAAAAATCTGTTCCTACTGAGAAGGTTTCTATTTGAAGAAAAGGGAACTAAGGGGCCATATGTTCAGTTTCATGCCCTGTCCTAACCCTGCATGTTGGTTCAGATGGAAAATTCAACTGAGAAAAGAACAGTCTTATGAATCTGAAGGCTAGTTCTTTTGGGGAACATATCTGGATGGGAGTCTGACCTCTGACACTAATCCCTGCTAAGAGATTTTGGAGATTTGGTCTAAAAAAATCATTGCCTCTATTTCTTCTTTGCCAAGAGGCTAGTGGTTGTGACTTCTCAGGAATGATGGTGTCAGGAGCAGTGTGTCTGGATGAGCCCTACAAAGCACAGCAGATTTGGGGAGCCTTCCCTCCTTGTGTACAGGAAAAGAGAGCTACAGTCTGGATACCAAGAACCCTAGGGAGGGGCAGCGCAAGGTTTAGAGCATCCAACTAAGAAGGACAGGGATCACTTCCTTGGCCAGCAGGCTCTAAATTGTCATTTGTCCTCATCTTCAGATTTCTGAATCCAACAAAAATTAGAAAATTCTTGGAAGACTAAATATACATATACACACACAGATTATTCTTTACTTTTATCCTTGTAAATGCATTAATTAAAGGTCTGTGAATTGAGGCTAGGGACATAGCTACCATTTATAACATTGTCTCTATATGAAAAATATCCTTCATGTTTTAAAGAACTAACTTACAATTAAAACTTTGGAAGAGAAAGCCACTTACATGAAAGTCAGAGATCCTGGTAGAAGATTCACAAATGGAGACATCTACACGTTGCATTAACTCTGACTTCCCACAGAGTCAGGGATCTCTGGGGCTCTGGCTCTTGGTGGCATAACTGTAACTAGCCTAAGTGCCCGTTATCTGTTTCCTATTTGCCCCATACTGATTCCCACAGCAGGGCATGCAGTTTTCAAGTTATCAGACTGAGATCTTGTACAGAAATGACTCCCAGGTAAAAAACTTAAAAAACAATCCTACTGCCTTTCTCACCTACTCACACAAGAGTCTTAGCCAGCTCACCCCTCGTGAAAAACACATGACCTTGATTCTATTCTTTGAATTTTGGGCTACAAGCTAAGAATTTGGAGACAAGCATCCTCCTTACAAAGGTGACTTTCATCCCCAAAGTCCTTAAAGTTCCACATCCAGGGCAGGGCACATCCCAGGGCAGGGCACAGGTGTAACTAACACTCTATTCTCCAGCCCCTGGCTCTGCCCTCATCACCCAAGGCAGGAAGAAAGAAAGGACAGTAGAGGTCAGGCTTGGACGTCTCCATGGAAGGAATGGTCACTGGTGACAGGCAGCTGTCACTCTTCTTTCCCCAAGTACTGAGGGAATGTGATGGTGGAATCCAGTCCCCCGGAATTCACAGCAGCAGGGAGGACACTGTGTCTGCTCAGTGCTCTCAGGTTTTAGTTACTGAGGTTCTTCCTCCCAGGTTGTGCCCCCTCCACTGTCTTTCAAGTTGGTGAGAAAATGAATCTGGCATCTCCCTAACTGTGGATGAAAGATTGGATCAGAGTGCAAGACCAGGGGCTGGAGGAGAAGAATCCTGGAATTGCCACTGTGCATGGCATCCCACATCCAGTGACAGAACACATGCTGCCTTACTGGAAGGAAGGGAAACTTAAATGTCAACCCATTGATGCCACAGAGAGTTAGCACAGAGGAGTTGGTCCGCACTTGCTTTGAGGCGGTCCATGGCCCCTGAACTTGAAACAGGTGTAACTTAAAAGCTGCCCAGTGCCTGTGAGTTGTAGCTGTGAACGGTTCTGCCAAGGGAGTTGGCCACATGTGGCAGTGCACACCCAAGGCCTGCTGCAGACTGTTGCCCACCTTCAGGGGTGGGCCCTGCAGGGGCAACGGGGAGTGACACTGGGTGCCTCTCTGCTGCTGTTCCACTCTGAGTCCAGGAAGCAGACAGTAGCTGCTCAGGGCAGGCCTGCTCTGCCTTCTCCTCTCCAGCCCAGGCTGGAGGGCGGTGCGCATGGAGTACTTGGTTACAGCTGTGGCCTTCCTTGGTGATAGACAGCAGGGAGAGGGTGGGCGGTTTCCCCGGGGACAGTCCAGAAACAGACAAGACAGGGACTCTTCAAGAAGTCAGGCTTTTGAGAGCAGCACCTGAAAACCTTGGTGGATGTTAGGTTCACTTCCCAGTGAAACTGTAAAACTGAAATCAGAGGCATGTAGGTGCTTAGAGGACAGAGATTATGCCTCCCTTTCTCACAATTAAATAAGAGTAAACATCTCAGTTAGTTGTCATCCCCCTAGCAAGATGTCTTCAAGATAACAGGCATTTTCCAAATTTGCCTAATGAAAAATAAGTCAGCCAGCCTGCTTTAATGGAGGTGTGTCCTGGGTTGATTGTCTCTAGAACTTTAAGCTTGGCCTCCTGCTTCAATTGAATCTATTACACTCAATTTCCTGTGAGGCTTTTTCTTTCCTTTTTTTCTCTTTAAATCTGTGTTATTTTCATAAGCATTTAAATTCACTTACCTTTTCTTAATCGCCTTGCCAACCAAATGATAAATGCCAACCCAGAGAATGCAGTGACTATGACTGCCACAGGTATGAAGAGGGGATTATAGTCACCTTCCTTTATCATGGAGAAACTTCTGTCTGATTCTGAAACAGAAGGCAGGAAGGCACACATGAGACCACAGCATCATTTCCTTGGTGCAGCTCCTAATTCTTGACATTTTCCCTCCTGGCTTCCCATTACAGCCCCTTGATGGCCATGACAGATCTGATGCCCCCCAGGAGTCTACCCCCAGGAGAAGGGAAATTTAAATGTCAATCAATTGATTGACAGAGGAGTTTATCTGAAGCAGACTGGCCCAGCCTTTAGCCTAGTGCCTAGAGATTCTCTGTCGCCTGATGGGTGATTGGTAGAATTCCTGGCAATGTCTACAAAATCTTGGCAAGAAAAAGTTATCATTGTACTGAGCCCATGGCTTTGTCAATGGTTGGACCTCAGACACAGAGAAGATCTACAAAGTCAGATACAGCTTCAGAAAAAAAGAGAAGCCAATGATTGACCTGGGAAACTTGTCAAAGGAAACTACTAGTGTTTTTACTTTAAAGCACACGTGCAATCCTAAGCACTAGAGTTTATGTGCCAAGACCTGCACTGATCTATCAAGTGATGTAGACCTACCACCTCCCTCCACTTCCTTCCCCAACAAGGAAAAGGACTCAGTTACACATCCTTTGTGAATATAAACTTGGTTCATTTGTAGTTTCGTTTTTATTAAGAAAAAGTTCCAATGTGAGAAACCAGCCTTGAATACCTCCTGGTGAAGGAAGCTACTTCCCATGTTGGCACAGGGTCCAACTGGGGCCCTTGAACCTCAGCTGCTTTGCTGAGCACTCACACAATGCCTCCACCCGACTCTCAAATACAGGATGCTGAGAGGCTGACGTTCCCAGAGGTACCAAACAGGCACCTGTTGGCTTGAGGAAGATGAGGGAATGGATGCTAGCCAGGCTGCAAAGCAAATGTACCCGACAACCTGACACTCAGAGGCCTTCTTGCCCCTCCTGCTGCCTGCCCCACTGCACTCTAGACACACAGAGGTTAGCTTCTCTAGTGACTTCTACAGACCCCAACCCAGGAGGCCCTCTGTAGCCTGTGCAGATGGCATGTGGGGCAGACCTTGTGGCCATCCTCTCATGTGCTAATTTAATGTGCCTTTGATCCAGCAAGTGTTGCTGGCACCTGTCAGGTGGAGGAGAGAGGAAGGTGAAGAAGACAGTCCTTCTCTTGCTCAGACTTGGGAGACATCAGCTGAGGGGCAGGTGAGAAGAATCCATGATTTTGGGAATTAGGTGGCCATGGATGACCTCTGAGGAGGCATTTCAAGGGACTAACAGAGAAGAGAAGTCAGATAGCAGAGGAAAAGAACAATGGAGAAGAGCTAAGTCACCAGAGACAGTGGGTTAGATTTTTAAAGTTCAGACAGGAAGTGTTGAAAATGAAAAACAGAAATGGCTGTCACTAGAGGAGGAGACAAGGACAGCCAAGCATTGTATAGTAAGTTAATGCATACAAACTTGTATTGTACAAAATGAAGCGTCAAGTTTAGTAGATGTGTCCCACCATCTGTGTGTCCATCAGCCCCATCTTCAAGTCTTCTGTGTATTGGGCAAACTTACTTTGACATATTGGATGAGGGCTGGACCAGATTCCAGAGGATCCACAAACAGTTTTCTTCTCCCCAATTAACTCAGTTCCCTCTGAGCAGCTGAAGGTGCACGTGGAGGTAAAACTGAAGTTGGCCAGGGGGTGAGTGCAGTCCATGGACCCCAAGTCAGGTGCTGTCAGAGGCTCACACTGAATCACTTCAATGGAAAATACAGAACAAGAGAACTCAAGGTAGTACTTCGGAGCAGAGAACTCTCCCTTGACCAAAGATTTTTAGCCAAAGCCGTCTGACCTAAGATGGGACCATCCACATGCATATAGGAGTCCTCATTTCTAGACGTTACTTCTGGTGATGCTTCCAGACTTTATCTTCTTGGAATGATGATGAGTGGTAGGTTGGGGGTGAAGCCCCAGCAGCCCTGATGAAGCAGCAGGGCACATATCTTGCCTAACAGCACCCTGGAGTATTCTCACAAATGTGCAGAATCTCCACCTTCTCTCCTGTTGTAGAGCTCACCCAGGAAGCTTTGAAAAAATCCCAACTCTACAATCCCAATTCTGTAAAATTTGGTAGATTAGACAATTTAGTTCTAGGATTTTGATAAAGGATTTTAATGTTTCTTTTGAGAATTGAACTACTTAAACTAGTGATTCAGAAGGATAAATGTAGAAAATGTCATCAGAATTTCCCATGTGCAGACAAGCACTAATATTCTCCCATGTGGGGATAATCTTTCCAGTTAAAAAGGAAAATAAAAACCCCTTAATTTCAAATGTAAAATGATGAAGAGTTTGGTTTGTTTTTCAAAGAACTTATTCTCCTGTGGGTTCAAGGATGGGAAAGATAAAGATAATCTTAAGAAACACCAAGTTAAAAAATCAAGAAAGAATTCCACTGTGGGACGAAAATTCTTTGGTGTTAAGTAGGACACCAACTAGTAGATATCATTGACAGGAGAGGAACAAAATTTATTCCTCAGCAAGGCTGCTCATGCCATGGCAATGAGGAAAATAAAAAATACAATATCGCTGTGTTGTATTGCTCTAAATCAGGCTATACAGTGTTAGATGATTGTAGAGACCATTTTTTTGTTTGGGGGGATTATTTTTAATTTTAGTAAGAATAACCCCTTAGAAAAGCTTCACAGCACAATCCAAGGTCACAGCACACTCTTAAAGAGGATGCAGATTTCTTAGAAAGTCTCTGCTGCATCTTCTCAGACTGTAAACCCAGGAGAACCTTGGCCAAACCTGGAGTTACTCACCATGACAGGTTGGTTCTATAGATGACCAGTTTCCCAAAGGGCCACAGAGGGTTTCCTCCATCCCATTTAGGTTTGTTCCCTCAGAGCAGTTGAAGGCACACTGTGATCCGAAGCTGAAGGCTCCCAAAGGGTGAGTGCAGTCCATGCTGCCCAGCTCTGGGGCCTCCAAAGCCTCACACTGGACCACTTCAGTGAGGAAGAGACAGTGTTGGGAAGGGTTAAGAGGGCCTGATAGATTTGATTCATACCACTGCCATTTAATAGCCATGTGTCTTAGAGTCCAAAGAAATATTTCTGAAAGAAATGGTCCCTGAACTATGTATTCAAAATGAACTGTTGTGTTGGCCATTTATGAAATGATAGACAGGGTCATGAGCAGAGTCAGTGAGATAAAAAGCCCGTTTGGTAAGTGGAGAACAAGTATTTTGATGTTACTAGCAAGAAGAGAATGATGTGAGATGAGTCTAGGAAGAAAGATAGGACTTAACGAGGATCTCTTATATATCAAGGATTTCTCTGGGCCTTGAGAGGCTTACATTTCATCCTGTAGGAGAAATGTTAGGCACAAATATAATAGTAGATGGTCACATGTGGGCTGTTTGATTACTTTTAATTGTCTACCTGCCTGTGGTACATTTGAGGAGAGCTAATTTAAAGTTGGAGAGATCATCTAGTAGACTACTGCAATCATTTAGGAGAAAAACATGTGGGCAATGATATAACAGTTGACAGGAGACATATTGGAAATATATAAGTCCTGAATATTGGTGTGCATTACCTTGCATCAAACATTGGGTAGGTGAGAGTCTCACAGTGTCCATGTACACAGTGGTTTCATGTTCCAGCTCTAGAACATGGTTTATCTCACACTGAGGTAAAAGTTACAGAAAGGAAAGCCGGCTGGGACAGTGGACTTTATAGGCTTTTGGACATCCCAAAAGAAATCCTCAGCATATTTGGAGTGGAGGGCTAGAGACAGATTTCTCAGTTCAAAGACCAGATAGACTTGTGGGTCAACAAAAGTCAGTAAGTTTGACCAAAGGGAACATGCAGAGTCAGAAGCACCACAGGAAAAATGACAGAAGTTGAGAAATAATAACAGAAGTTGAGCTGGGATTATTGCTTATGTAGGAACCCGAAGAATGATGATCAGTGGAACAGAAAGACTGGCATAATGGAAAGCAAGACAGAAACAAAACAAAACAAAAACCTACAATTTTTTAAAGTAGAGGAATGGGAATACACTTATATAAGGTTTAAAAAATAAAGTTCCAGAACAGGAGTAAAATTTTAGGTAGCAGTCTTGGCTCAGAGATTAAGAAAAATGAGTTGGATCTATTATAGTCAGTTGACATCTGAATCCACTTTGGCTTTAAGTCATATTCTTTACAAATATTGCTTTTGTCAATAATTTTCTATTCTATACATCAGACACTTAAAACTTATTCTGAAACTACCAACATCAGTCAAAGTATCGCGTGTCTCCTTCAGTAGTGGGTGACAGGGTCAAGGCCTGGCTTTAACCTGTGTGTTCCCTCCTGTCCATTTCCACCTTCTTGCCTCTGAGTGACTGACAAAGCCCAGGAAGAGCCTCTCCATCGCCCACCATGTGCTTCCGGGTTAACTGCCCACTTACCGAGGAAGATGCTAAGGAGCCTCTCACTGCAGATAAGGCTGGGCTCCTTCACCAGCAGTTCCAGGCCCTGGGCTCACTGCAGCTTGTCTCCCTCACACTCAATTGTGAACAGATAAGATTTCCCTTAACTAACCAAAAATCCTTTACGGGAAGGTTTTATGACAGATCTTCCATTGTGTTCTCCTGAAATACTTAGCCCAAGTGAACATGGAGAATTTGCTGTTACACATCTCTGACATAAGCTATGTATCATCATGGACTTTTCTTCTGGCTTTCCTTGTCATCACTTTATAAAAAAGTGAGATTACCTTCTGTGTAACTCTCCTAAGGGTGAATTTTACAGTTTCTTTCAGACTTTAGATTCCAATTAATCCATCAAGCTCATCAGATTTTGAGCTCCCTGAGAGCAGGAATCAACCCTCACCTGACCCCTTACTGTAGAGCTCAATGCTTGCACTCCACACCTGGTTTCTTATGGTAATCAGAAACATTTATGTTCTGGGAGTGGTGGCTGAAGCCTCTAATACCAGATTCTGGAGACAGAGGCAGGAGGACTGCAAGTTTAAAGCCAGCCTCAGCAATTTAGTAAGACCCTCAGCAACTTAGTAAGAGACCCTGTCTTAAACAAAACCCTGGGGATGTAGTGTCCTTGGGGTCAATCCCCACTACAAAAACAAAACAAAACCACTTCACACTGCCTTGTGAAATCTTTGCAGTAAATGCATTGCAAAAGCATAATTTCTGATCACAACTTCCCATTTCTCAGAATGGCTAGTATCATTTGGTCCCAGTCAGCTTCCATCATAAGCTACAGTGAGTCTTGTTACTTGCAAAGGAGTGAAGGGGCTTACCAAACTGACACTGGGGCCCATAGTGTCCAGCATCACAGTCACAGGTGTAATTGTTGATGGTTTCCACACATTCTCCGTGGCCACTGCATGACCAAGGCTGGCAAGAAGCTTTAAGAGGGTCAGAGAAACAGTGTCTCAATTGATTGCCTTTTAGGATTAATAGATATTTCTTTTGTCATAGGTAACTGTTTATCTGCACTATTTTAATAAGCAGGAAAGGTTTATTTATATGTTCAAAGCACTTTTGCATAAAAATCACATGCTAAAATTTCAGTTTATAAAATATGCTAGGCATACAGCCCAGGACACATGTGTGCTTTTAAAGTCAGCTTGCCGAGAGTAACATGCTGACAGCTGGGGAGATGTTGCTTAGGCTGCTAACACTGAAACTCTTGAAATGCCTTGCTTTCAGTGCAGTGATGGGTAAATGAAGGCTGGGCCTCACTCACCTCTGCACTGTGCTTGGAGTCCTTCCTTATGGGAAGCACTAAGATAAAAAGTCCAAATTTCTAAAGGAGCAGAGAGTCCAGTTTACGAGGAACCAAATGAACTGTTTCACTGTTAAAATCCGGCTTGGAAAAATCCTGGCTGGGCTGGAACTGTTGTGACAGCCACCCAACAAGCCTGTGCAGTGTTGTGCCAGGAGGTCACGGAGGCAGCTTTCAGCCCAGGCTCCTGCTCTACAAGGAGGACACAGGCCAGGTGAGCCCCAGCTCTCAGCCAGCCCTGCTCTTGGTGTCCACTTCCTGCCTTCCATCAGGGGCCCTGGCTGTCTAACTCCTCCTCCCTGCCTCCCATGTAATGTACTTAGCACCTGGATGGGACAGGAATTAGGGGTATGGGTGTGGGGTGTAGGAACCGGCTTCACACACCAGAAATGCTCAGCAGTGACCTGATCCATGCCCAGTTGGGGGACAGGAAGCAGATGAGAGTGAGCTAGCTCCTGCTCCCCTCCCCAGCACTCCCATGGGGTAGGTCTGATTATTCTAGCTCAGGTCTTCCTCGTGGCCTGGTCTCCCACCTGTGTAGCAGAGGGCTGCCTTTCGTTTGTGGCAGGCATCGTCATTCCATTTGCCTGAGTCTTTTGTCCTCTTGATGTAGATCTCCACGCAGTCCTCTTTGGATTTCTTGTTGTTGGGCTCCCCAGTTCCCCAATTCTCTGCTTCTTCAGTGAGAGGCTTGTTGGTTCCCACCCATGTCCATATGTTTCCTATCTTCCGGATTCCTATCCAGTAGTAAAAACGGTTGAAGGGCACTGTCTCCTCCAGGTACTCAATTTCTCCCTTATTTTGTATGGCAACTAAATCCGTGTAATTTTCTTGGCAGAACTTTCTAGCACTTTGCCAGTTCATGAGTTTTTCAGAATAGTGGTAGGTCCAACAGTCAGTTCCATGATGTGCCAGGAATTCTGAAAGACAGAGCAGGAAGCGTATCTACTCAAGTGTTTCAGCTGAGAAGAGCCCAGCTCTCGTCTCCAGGCTGAGCTGCCACTCAGAGAGGAGGAGCTGAGGGCCCAGGAGGGTAAGTGACCGCTCAGTATCAAGCCCTAGTTGTTAGCAGATGGGAAGCAGAACCCAGACCTCTGCTTGAACATGGGATATCTTCCTCATGGCATTGTTTTTTATGGACACAATGGCTTTCTAGGTCTATTTTTGTAAAATGTTTTTTTTCTCAAAATTCCTTTATGTGAAATTTAACTAGCATTTTAGAAATTCAAATTTCATTTTCTTATTGTCAATCATTTAAAGTTAATATGACATATAACCAATATCATATAACTAATATTTACAGTCTATTATTTTATCCTGGGATGAACCCATTTTCTCCTTTCTCCTAAATGAGAAGCAAAATTAGGACAGGAAGAACCTTGACATATTTTCCTGTACTTTCTTTCATGTCCAGAAAAACCTTTTTAAAAAAAAACAGAGAAAGCTTGTTGTGGTCCTAATCACATAGTAATAAAGGCGAATTTACAAACCCAGTTACGTAGACTTGTGAAATTGATCACATCAGTTTCTGTATGCAGAGTGACTCATCTGTTGGTGTTTAATAAACATATGGATGCTTCAAATAGGAGGGCCTTGAAAGAACTAAATTAAACACACAGTAGACCCCTGGCCCTTGATGTGCACCATTCTAAGCATGACAGGATCTATGAGAAATGCGACTTTTTAGGAAAGTAAAGCCCCCCCAAAGCTTTCAGCCTACGTGGAGTTGTCTTTGGGAGGGCGACTATATTGGAGAAACACCAACACAGCTTAGGGCCAGTTCTCATGGCCTCCCAAGGGTTCTGGGAAAGGAAGGACAGGGGAAAAGGAAATGTAATTAATCTTGGTCAAACATGTCAGAAATGATCAGAGAACTAGGAAATATATGACCAATGGGAAAAGAGCACCTGCGGTGACCTCTGAACTGGTTTGGGAGGAGCCATTCCACTGCAATGCCTGTTCTACCATGGGAGAGGCTGCTGTAGCCACTCCGCAAATAGTGTCTATATGTTGTGGCAACTCAAAGGGCTCTTGAAAAATGAGAGGGACACTGGACTCCCTGAGTTGCCAGGTGGCCAGGTGTACGCTGTCAGATGTGCTTGGTTGATCAAAACCAAAAGTTCAGGTGAGGGAGGAAGAAGACATTTATGTACTTGGAATGGGGAAGGGTCCCAGCTATGGCTGGAGCATCTTGAGACTCACTGCAACTTTGTAACATCATTGAGAGGAGGACCATAAAGGGGACCTAAGTCCCCTGCCCTGAAGGAATTCACATTGGAACTGCAGAAATTGATTTGAAGTACACTGACATATTAACAGAAAAGCCAGTGCTAAATAATGGTGCAGTGTCTTACTACAGATTTCCTATTTAACCTTATTCCTTTTCCATTGAAAGTTTCTTTGGGGATTTTCAGGATTTGGAGTCTGCAGCACAGGCTGTGGCAGACAAGATTGGGGTTAGAGGTTCCTCTTGAGGAAGAAGAGAGAGGTCACAGAGGGATAGAATTGGTAATAATTTTCCCTGCATCTATGCACACTCAGTGGATGTTTGAGAAAATGAACATAAATTAAAAGGCTTAGCAATGTGTGGCTATCACAACATACCCCAGCAGAGCACTGTCCAGATCCACAACTGGGTGATCCACAAGCCCCTCTGTACACTCTGACATTTCCTTGGAAATATCTGCAATAAAATACAGGACAATTTAGATTGGAGACAGGTTTAAAGCACCTGGGAAGGATGGAGGTACCTGCAACTTTCTGAAAGTTCCAGATAAAACACACAAATGCACAAACCCTGTCCCCCATCAGAGGTTTCCCAGACAAGGGAGAAAAAGTCACATCACATCAACCCAAACCTCCTGAAGTTTTGTTCCATTTTGATTTCATGTTTCATTCTCAAATTGCTGATCATCATTGCTCTGATGTTTTTCTATATCCCAGTAAATTCGTGCCTGCTTGTCTATGGAGCTTTCAGGTCAAATTACTGAATATTTGTATATTTGTTAAGTCTTGGCGCTTAATGACCTTTGGTGTTTAGATCGACTGCTGTCTTCTCACACTTGATCATGATCAGTCAATGCTTCAAATACCTAAGAGAATTACATAACCAGACTCCAGAGAAGCAAAGCAGTTCATTTTCTTTTCTAAAGAAGAAATAAATTTTTGAGAACTGAATGACAGCATCCCAGGTTCTCTGCAGCCCTGAGGGAAATGTTTTCTGCAGAGGACACCTCTCTGGCAGCACCGTGTTTCACTGCCCAAGCACCACTTTCCTCTCACCAGAGACTCTCAGGGGAGGACGTCGGCCACCTGACACCCTAGGATCACATTCTGAGACTGAGAGCATTTTTGGTTTCTGCATGTTAAAAACCAAAAATGAAATGGCTTGTTTCTTGTCCCATGCCACCTGCCCCTCCAGCCCCAGGAGAGTTTCTCTGCGTGTCTGGAATCTCTGGGCCAAAGGCTCACCATGGCTTTGCTGGCTCCTTCTCTGGCTCCACAGCCTTCAGCCTCTGCAAGCAGCGCCTGGACTCTCTGGGTCCTTGTGGAGGGGGCCTGCTTGCTCCAGGGGAGGGCTCTGAGTGTCACCAGCAGGGCTCTCTCCACCCAGTCTCACATCCTCCTCCCTCCTCCCTCCCCTTCCTCCTCTTCTTCTCTCACCTCTTCCCCCACCCCTTTCCTTAGCTGGCCTCTGCCCCTCTCCCTGGGAACAGTGAGGTGTTGTGGTTGGATTCTCCTTCCTCTCCCACTTCCGTCTTCCTCCCTCTGTCCCTTGTCCTGTGCTTCCTTCCTTCCCTTCTGCTGCCCCCCTTTATTGTTCTCATACTGTTGTCTTCTTCCTCCTCCTTCTCCTCCTCCTCTTCCTCCTCCTCCTCCTCCTCCTCTTCCTCCTCCTCCTCCTCCTCCTCCTCTCCTCCTCCTCCTCCTCCTCCCTCCTCTCTCTCCTTATTAATGCTAGACTTACTCCTGACTATCCCTTGTAGGTGGTCCTTGTAATGCCACAGTTCAGAATTCTATTTCAGACAATTTAAGGTGTCTGTCATACTTCAGTAGAGCTGCCTGATCCACTTGATAAAATCCAGTTCCTTCTCCTCCTTTCCTTGCTCGCCGCCTAGTGGACGAGCTTGTGAATGGCACCCCCTGAAATGAATCACTTTTGTCCTAGGGAGGTTTGGGGTCCCAAGAGTGTCTTTATATTTCTGACATATAAAATGTGAAGGAAATAAGACTGCATATGGAGTTAGAACTCATATGGTGAAAGACAATTAAAAAGAAGAGTCACTGACATCAGATTTGTGTTTTAAGAAAGATAATGATGATGGGCTATAGAGATCAGTACTCCATATTAATTACCTTATTAAATTTTTATAAACATAGTATTCTGTGAGAAACTTTAGTATTTCCCATTTTAAAGAGTATCAAAGAGAGTAAAAAAGTTGCCTCAGAATATATCTGGTGAGAGACACAGTTAGAGTTTGGAACTGGGCCATCAGTTCTGAACCTGATGCCCTTGACCACTAAGCTGAGCTTCCAACAAGACTTTGAGGACATGTGAAAGTGGGGACAATGTGGAGTCGAGGAGTCCTGTGAAATGTCAGTGCTCACACTCCACCATCGAAATGCCTGGCTTGAGTCCCCAAGTCCTCTCCTCCAGCTGCTCTGCAGCTTGAGCCAGTCAGGCCTACACCACACCAGTTACCAGTTCATCATGAACTTTTCTCCTGGCTTTCCCTGTCATCACTAGCCAACACTTCACTAATGGTGGAAGTTTTTCGTACCCTTGGCACTGAAGATTCAAGCAGAAAAAATAGTGTTATTGGAACTAATAAGCCCTGCAACCCTGGAGGAAAAGCTAGTCCTCAGGAGTGGTAGTAGAGGAAGCAGGCAGGTACCTCCAAACCAGGGAGAGTGGTAAGAAATCCCTTTGCCTCCCTCCTCTCACTCCCTGGTTTCTTCCAGGAACCTCTTAGCCAAGCCTACTGCAAACCAACCCACAGTGATGAAATGTCACAATGCACGGGGTCAGCCATGTGGGCAGAGCATAGAGGGGAGAGGGTGGATGGGGGCAGGGTAGATGAGAGTGAAGGGCAGAAGATGAGAAGCCTTGTCCTCTTGTGCTCAAAGCCCTCCAGGGGCTTCCTGTCCCACTCACTCAGAGCAAAATCTTGAGTCCTTGCTTTGCCCTTTGAGGTCCTGCGTGATCCGCTCCCTCGTCCTTTTTGTCTGAGATTTCCAACAGTTGATTATAATTCATCTAGTGCTTTTAAGTATTGCAGTGGTAAGGGTTCTCAGGATATCAGGTGTTTGGTTCAGCATTTTTGTCACTGTGACTAAAGAACCTGACAAGAACAACATAGAGACGGAAAGTTTATTTTGGCTCATGGTTTCAGAGATCAGTCGATGGTCAGCTGACTCCATGGCTCTGGGCCCCAGGTGAGGTAGGACATCATGGTGGAAGGATGTGTCAGAGGAAGACATCTAGGACAGGGAAACCAGGAAGGTGGGGTGGGCTCTGCTCAAGGGCATGCCACCAGTGTCATGATTCCTCCAGCCACCCCTGCCTGTATATAGCTACAGCCCAGTTACTCTGTACAGCGGGGTTAATCCCCTGGTTAGATTACCCTCTCATGATAAAATCACTTCTCTTCTAAAAATTCCGGAATTGTCTCACAGATGAGCTTTTGGGGGACACCTTATATCTAAGCCATAACATCAGTCCTCAGTATTTCCAGGTCTGATACTCAGTAAATATCAGCAAACAAAAACATGAGTGGACAACTTAAAAACATTTTTTTTTGGTCATAAAATACATATGTTCTTTTTCTTTAGCAAAGATTTTACCTTCTTTTTGTTGTTGTTGTTGTTTGTTCTTAGTCTTTTATTCTTTGTTATTCTGTTTGTTTGATGCACATTTCTATTCTTTTGAATCAGACAAACGCAGAGTTCTCTTCTGAAGGCCAGTTTGTGTCTCTGGCAGCCAGACAGGTTTGTTCGGGCCCCGAGTTGCATCAGGAGCTTTCCATGAGTTCAGGCCTGGGAAGGGGGTCTTGGAGAGGGAGGTGATTATTTAGTGAACATTGTCAAACACATGCAGTTGATTTACTTTTCTGTACATTTTAAATTCTCTCTGTATATCGAGTTAGACTTCTAGCTATTGGACCACATCAACCTAGCCCCTCACTGAGTCCATCCAGAGCTGTGGCTTTTGAATCTCAGCAAAGTTATTTTTCATGTGTTCATTTGAATCATGTGGATTGATCTTGTGTTTGTCAAACACATTTTTCCTGAGAACACAGTGAGAGACGTGGGGTAGAGTTAGAGCGTGTACGTGACGCCATGGGATGTTATTCTGCCTCTCCAGGAAGGCAGTCCTGGCACTGGTGTAACAGGAACCAGAGCTGAAACCATGCTAAGTGAGAGAAGCCCGGCAGGGAGGCCGCACGCTGGACGAGTCCATTCTGGGGGACACCCAGACCAGGAGGAGCCGCAGAGCAGGAGGTGGCCTGCAGGCCCACGGTGCTGAGGGAGCAGGTGACAGGGCTTTTCATGGAAGTGCTTTGGAACTAGGACAGGGGCTGGTGGCACAGTGCTGTGGAGGTGCTGGACTGTCCCCCTCATCACGGCTGCGTTTCACCACACGAACTTCAGCTCAAGGTGGAAAAGGAGCCAAGTGTGCACTGAGCTTAAAGAGAGGAGCTGGGGCAGCAGAGTCACAGGCACCTGTCAGCAGCCACTTGAAGGGCGGCAGGAGAAGGGGCTGACTGGGCTGTGCCACCAGGTGGGGCTGGTGGCATGACAACCCACCACTCCCTGAGGGAGGAGCCACTGCTGGAAGGCCAGTGCCCACCTGAGGGTGGAGGGGAGAGCCTCTGGGGGCCACTGAGAGCAGCATCCTAGGACCACAGAAGAACCATCGCCCCGGCTTTCCCAGCCTGCCCCTCAGAGGGCCTCGGCTCGCTCGCTCCTCGCCCAGCAAGGAGCTCCCACTGCAGTCCCCTCAGGTTGCCCTCCAGGCCACCGTGGGACCCCTCCACAGATGCCTCCCCTCCACAGCCCTATCCAAACACCTCCACACGGCTCAGAGCTGCTCTCCCTGCCCCTGGGGCCAAGCCACCTCCTGGACGGTTCACCACACCCCTGTCTCCACACAGCCTCGAGGTCCTTCCCAGATGCTCCCCTGCTGCCCCTGGGACTCCTGCTTCACAGTGGGCAAGCTCACCCGTATGCTGCAGTTCTCCCAAACCTCCTCTACCTTCCTCCATAGCAACCGCTGCCTCCTGGGGTCATGTCTCCCCTGCAGATCTCTCAGGACAGTGACATTTTCTCCACACGCTGCAGGATGGGCCTCCTGCTTTCTGATGGGGCCCTTTTACACATCTCTGTTCCCCACCACACTGGAAAGAAAAGGAAGCAGCAATCAAATAACCCAGGATCTCTGAAGCTCACCGCACCAGGATGCGCCATCTTGTCACTGTCCTCATGGTGGTGAACCCAACTCCTTCATGCACTGGTGGCTTTGGAACCTGGCTCCTGGTCCTCCTGTCCCTGGAAGCACCTCCCACAGCCATTTGTGACTGCACCATGCACTGAACACCTGTCCCACAGCAGGATCCTCACTCTCTAAGTCAAGGTCAGCCTCCACCTTGACACCTCAGGAGACTTCAGCACGTCCTCCCACCACTTCTGTCCCCTGTTCCTGCTGGCTTGTTGCTCAATATCTCACTGTGATGCCTTTATTCCTACCCCATTGACCCCCAGCTGTTAACTCACCCCCACGCCTTTTTACTTCACAGTGGGACTCATATTTTTAGTTTTTTTGTTTTGTAGTTTGATGTAATCTCATTTGTTGCTTTTTGCTTTTGTTTTATGGGCTTTTGGGGGGCAGAAAATCATTGCCTGTACCAATTTCTTGAAGTGTTTCCCCTATTTTTAATAGTTTAAGTTTTTATAATTATATTGAAATCTTTTATCCATTTAGTTTATTTTTGTGCAGGTGAGAGTTACAGGTTAATTTTCAATCTTTTGCTTGTGGATATTCAGTTCACCCAGCTCTCTTTCTTGAAGAGTTTGTTCTTGCTCCATTGTGTGTATTTTGGCCTCTTTATCAAGAAACAATGGGATTTAGATGAGTAGGTGTATTTCTCGGATCTCTATTCTGTTGCTTTGGTATTTGTTCCTCTCTCTTTTTTCCATTTTTTTTGTTTCTTTTAGTTATACATGACAGTGGAATGTATTTTGGTATATCATACATACATAATGTACAGCTTCCCATTTTTGTGGATGTACATGATGTGGAGTTACACTGGTTGTGTATTCATATAAGAACTTAGGAAAGTTATATCGGATTCATTCTACTGTCGTTTCTATTCCCATTCCTCCTTCCTTCCTTTCATTCCCCTTTCTCTAATCCAGTTAATTTCTATTCTTCCCTCTCCCTCTCAGTTTATTGTGTGTTAGAAACCACATATCAGAGAGAACATTTGGCCTTTGGTTTTGGGGGATTGGCTTATTTCACTTAGCATGATAGTCTCCAATTCCATCCATTTACCAGCAGATGTCATAATTTCATTTTTCTTTATAGCTGAGTAATATTCCATTGTATTTATGTACCACATTTTCTTTATCCATTCATTTGTTGAAAGGCAGCTAGGTTTGTTCCATAGCTTAGCTATTGTGAATTGAGCTGCTACAAATGTTGATGTGGCCACATCACTATAGTATGCTGATTTTAAATCTGTTGGGTATATGCCAAGGAGTGGGATAGCTGGGTCAAATGATGGTTCCATTCCAAGTTTTCTGAGGAATCATCTTACTGCTTTCCAAAGTAGTTGCACCAATTTGCAGTTCTACCAGCAATGTACGAGTGTACATTTTTTCCCACATCCTCACCAACATTTATTGTTACTTGTATTCTTGACAATTGTCATTTGGACTGGAGTGAGATAAAATCTCATTGTGGTTTTAATTTGAATTTCTCTAATTGCTAGAGATGTTGAACACTTTTTCATATATTTGTTGACTGATCATATTTCTTCTTCTGTAAAGTGTCTGTTCAGTTTCTTTACTAATTTATTGGGTTGTTTGTTTCTTTGGTGTTAAGTTTTTTTAGTTCTTTGTATATCTTGGAGATTAGTGCTCTATCTGAGGTGCAAGTGGCACAAATTTTCTCCTATTCTGTAGGCCCTCTCCTTGAGTTCTTGATTGTTTCCTTTGCTGTGAAGAAGCTTTTTAGTTTTATTGATTCTTAATTTTACTTCTTTAGATTTAGGAGTTGTCCTGGTTACCATGGCTCTGGAGTTTGTCTTTAATGCCGTATAACCAATGTGATTCTGCAACCTGTACACTTGGAAAAATGAGAAATTATACCCCATTTGATTCAAATGTATGATATGTCAAGATCATTGTATTTTCATGAGCAACTAATAAAAAATTAAGAAATAAAAAAAACAGACGTGATGCCTGCAGCTTTGTTCTTTTTACTAGATAACTTTTTGCTATTCATGGTTTTTTGTACTTGAAATGAATATTAGGAGTATTTTTAACTAGTTCTGAAAGAATATTAATAATATTTTGATGGGGATTACATTGAATCTGTAAATAATTTTTGGTAGCATGGACATTTTAACAATATTAATTCCTTCAATCCATGAACATGGATGGATGCCTTTCCTATTTTCTGGGATGTCTTCTTCTATTTTGTCATTGTTTTGTAATCTTCATTATGGTGGTCTTTCACCTGGTTAAGTTTCTTTCTCAGTGTTCTCTTAGATTTTTGCAGATATTGTATGAATGGAATTCTTTCCTGTTTTCTTTCTCAGCAAATGCATTGCTGATGTATGGAAAGGCTACTGACTTTTCTATGTTGACTTTATATCCTGCTACTTTCCTAATTCATTTATCAGTTCTAACAGTCGTTTGGTGGAATCTTTAGGATTTTCTCCATTTAGACCCTTATCATCTGCAAACAAGGAAGTGACTTACTCCCTTCATTCTCCCTTTATTTCTTTGTATCTCCTAATTATTTTGGCTATAATTTCTAGTATTGTATTGAATAAGAATGGTTTGAGTGGACACATTCTCTTATTTCTGATCTTAGAGAAAATTCTTTCAGCTTTTCCCCATTAGTATGATGTTGGCTGTGGGCTTGTCATAAATATCCTTTATTTTGTTTAGTTATTATCTTCCCATACATTATGTGTTCAGGACTTTTGTCTTGAAAGGATGTTGAATTTCATTAAATGCTTTTCTGCATCCTTTGTGAAGATCATGTGATTTTTATCCTTCTTCTGTTGATGGGATGTATAATGTTTATTAATTGCTTATGTTGAGTCATTCTTAGATCCCTGGGATGAAACCCACTTGATGGTGGTGAATGATCATTTGATGTGTTGTTGAATTCAGTTCAGTAATATTTTCTTGAGAGCTTTTGTGTCTGTTGTCATAAAGGATATGTTTTAGTGAGAGCTCTCCAGATAATCACAACCTGTGTGTGTGTGTGTGTGTGTGTGTGCGTGCATACGTATGCATGCACACACATGTGCATGTGTACACAAATTTATTGTAGGAATTAATTCATGAGATTATGGAGGCTGAGAACTCCCATGATCTGCTATCTGCAAGGAAACCTGGTGACATAATTCAATCCCAGCTCCAGGACTCAGGAACAAGAAGGGCCAATGTCCATGGGTAAGAGAAGATGGATCTCCCAGCTCACATTTCCTCCATGTTCTCAAACTTCTTGTTCAACAAATTGGATGAGACCACCCACACTGGGGAAGGCAATCTGCTTTCTCAATCCACCAATTGTAATGTCAATCTCTGTAAAAACACCCTGACAGACTCTCACATAAATAATGCTTCATCAGCTGTCTGGGTATCCCATACCCCAGTCAAGTTGATACAGAGAGCTACCCATCGCAGACATTTAAGCAGACATCTCAAAAGTGAAAAAGAATTGACCAGTCAAAGAACCAAGATACCTAATTGTCAAGAAGATAGACAATAGCAAGTATTAAACAGGGAGTGGATAAATTTGAATCCTTGGGCATTGCTAGTGGGATTATAACATGATGTAGGCCCTTTGGAAAAGGGCTTGGTGGTCCTCAACAATGAAACATCATCACCATATGACCCTACAGTTCAACTTCTAGGCATATATCCAAGAGAACTGAAGACATTCGTCAGCCTAAAACTTGAACTTGAATGTTCACAACTGAATTATTCACAGCAGCTTGAAAAAGAAAAACGACCCAAAGCCCATGGGTTGATGAGTGGAGAAGCAAAGTGTGCTGTGTGCTTGCAATGGAACATGACTCCACCAGGACACAGAGGAGGTGCCGATGCGTGCTGCAGCAGGGGGACCTGGGGACATCACCAGATGGAAGAAGCCAGACACACACAGTCACCTGTGAGTCTGCTAGTGTGAAATTCCCAGAATAGGCAAAGCCATAGGTGCAAAACTAGGTTAGTAGTTGCCAGGGACAGGAGGAAGAGAAGAATGGGGAGCAACTGCTAATGGGGACAGGTTTCTTTTTGGGGTGATAGAATTTTCTGGAGTTAAATACTGCTGATGGTTGCTTGATCTTGCAAAATTTAAAAAGGCATATTTTCTTGTGTATAAGTTTTATCTAGGGGCTGGGTTGTGGCTCAGTGGTAGAGTGCTCACCTAGCATGCATGAGGCACTGAGTTCAATCCTCAGCACACATAAGTGTAAAATAAAGACATTGTAAAAAAACATTTTATCTAAATGCAATAAAAATTTTTAAGAAAGAGCCTATATCAGAGATAAATAATACACATATAATAAATGCACATATTTATTGTCAAACTTTGTAGTGCCATGTCCAGTATAATAAAGCTGACAAAAGATAAAATAAATACATATTTTAAAACTGTTAAATATTTTAAATCATAATTTAAAACATGATACAAAACACAAACACAGACCACATTTATGTGTCATAGTTATTTCTAATGCAGAATATATAAATATTTACAACATTTGAGCAATTTCAGAGAAAATAATAACTCTTTCCATATGTAATCTGATCACGATAGTCCCCCTTCCCTGAGTCCTTCTGCCCCTTAAGAACCACTGCTGGGCTGGGGATGTGGCTCAAGCGGTAGCGTGCTTGCCTGGCATGCGTGCGGCCCGGGTTCGATCCTCAGCACCACATACAAAACAAAGATGTTGTATCCACCGATAACTAAAATAAATATTAAAATTCTCTCTCTCTCTCTCTCTCTCTCTCTCTCTCTCTCTCTCTCTCTCTCTCTCTCTCTCCTCTCTCTCTCTCTTTAAAAAAAAAAAAAAAGAACCACTGCTTTCTCATCTTTATCACACCTCCCTGTTTACTGCTGGCTCTGCCCTGCCAACATTCAGGCAGCACTTACTTGAAATATTCCTCTTCAACATGCTAAGTTAAAAGAAATGTGGGAAAGCTTTGATGTGGGCAGCTTTGGCACTTACTGACCAGGAATGTCTCATTGTCAGTGATACCTGGAAGTTCCTTAGGAATTTTAAACTCTCCTTAGAAACATAATGCTCACACATACAAGCTTCCCCCTCTTCCAGGACATCTAACATACAGAATAAAACAACTAAGAAATAATCATTAGACATTCGCTCTTTGAAAATCCACTGATTGGTCCTTCACATGATGAGTTCTTATGTATTGAAACCTTATGTAATACAAAATAATTATGTGATAATATCTGACAAACACCTTTGTAGGAAGGCAAAGCACATCAATGTGTCTACATTTTTTTTAAACAAAGAAAGTCTCAAAATTGTACCTTCATTTGTTTGCATTGATGCTTTTATCATATCAGATATTAGGCCTCATAGAAGTTTTTTATCATAAAAAAGCAAAAATTGGTGAAAAGAATATGGTAACAATTTAAAACTCTCTATTCAGCTTTACTCTGGTGATAGTACCATGTTTTAAAAAACCTGTAGTAAAATTCTCAGAATGTCACCCTGATTCACGCATGTTATTATTTGAAATAAATCTACTGCAGTTATAACATTGAAATTTGTTAATAAATAAGAAGGTGGATCAATAACTTTACCATATCATAGTCAATAACATTTACAAAATTTTCAAGTACCTTTAACTTTTGTACTGAGTTAATTATGGAAGATCATGCTGTATTCAAGGCAAGTAGAAAGAGCACAACCTTTAAGAACACTTTAAAAGCACTTTAAAAGCACATGAGTGAACATGACTAAGACTGTTTGGTGATCCTTGAACTGAGCATTAAATAGGATTTGCACCTTGCACCACGAATAACCTCCTGAGTAGTCATCTCTGGGCATTAAAAACTATACATATTTTCTTAAGTTAGAAGAAAAATATCTGGCCAATTGGTTCCCTGTAAGCTACTGATAATTATTATGTTCCCCTCTGAGCGCAATTCTGTAACTAGCAGTTGCAACACTGTGAGGGGCTAGAGAGAAACAGAGCCAGGAAACAGTGTTCCTCCGCTGAGATTCAGAGCCACAGAGGGAGAGTAAAGAAAAGAATCCTGAGAGTCCAGAGCCTTAGTCTCTTTAGCTTGCTTTGAAGAAGATCCTCTCCCCTTAGCAGCTGGCACTTTCTTTATCTTGAGAATAGGAAACAGAAGACTTTCTTCTCTTTTGTGTCTTTTGGTGGAAGACTGCACTTGGCTCTGAACTTAATCCACTGAAGTCATGGTCCCAGCTGTCAAGGCATAGGACAATGGGCCAGGAAGACCAGGGGGCAGGATACCTCTGCTGTCTTCAGTGGTTCAGTCTAGTTCCCGGGATGCACCAGTGTTCCTGCAAGCGCAAGCAAACGTGCATGTCACCAGAAAACTTTAGCATAATGCATACTGTAAGTGACAACAAAATGCACATTCTAGCCCAGACTACTGTGCATTCTGCCTGGGGCCACCCAAATAGCAACATCAAGTGCTGTTCAGTTAGAACAGGGAAACTATTCTTTACGGCACAGTAATGGTGGCTACAGGTGATTACATATCTGTTAAACCCTGCAGAAAGCACAACAAGTGAACACTAAAGTAACCTGGGGACTTTAACTAATAATAATGCATCTATACTGATCCATCAATTGCATCAAATGAATCATGCTAGTTCAAGATGCTGGTAACTCTAAGATTTTTCAATTTTTCCATAAACCTAAAGTTGCACAAAAATCATATAATATTTTTTAAGTATTTCAAGGGAATTTACTTGACCCTTCCAAATCCTCACGAAGCAGAGCAGATGTTTAAGAACACAGATTCTAGAACCACACTGCCTGTGCTTGAATCCTGCTACACCACTTAGGAGCTTTGAGACTTCAGGCAAGTCACTTAGCTTCTCTCTGCCTCCTCTTCTCCATCTAAGTCAGGAGAAATAGAATAATCATCCTATCTCATGGAGTTCCTAGCTTAGAACAGTTCCTAGGGCACAGTAAGTGCCACATAAGGGTCAGTTATCACCATCATTATTATCTTTCATAAAGGAAATGGCTCAAGAAAGCCAGATCTCTGTTTCTTCCCTCTTCTGCAAAGAAACAAAACACCTTTCCAGTAAGTGCCATGGAGATGGAGAGGTCCTGAGGACAATGGCAGGCTGGAAGGGGCCCAAGGATGAGCCGAACGCCTAGGGAGGTGCTCCCTCATGACATGCCACTTGCAAGTCTTACCAGACTCCTTTGAGCTTAGATGAAATCCGAAGGTATCTGGTAGTTTCCATGGGATTCAAGGCTTTGGCAGCTGCTGTGGGACAGGTGAGAACAGTAATAAGCCACTGTTTCCACATGAAGAGAGGAAAATGTTCAGAATGTTCACAGAATGCTTTGTACAAGAATGCAACTTACCTGGCAGGAACAAATTTCCTTGCTGAAAGAGAAAGAAAACCATTCCTTTAGACCAAATGGCTTTTAACGACATTGCCAATTCAGACAGGATATGACCCAAACATCAGGGTTTGCAAACTCAGTGCCCCTGCACTCTGTAACAATCAGAGCAGGAACACAACCAGGTTACTAAGGTAAATGTACAGTGCACAGTCATCAAAGGACACAGCAGCTTTCTGACAGCAGCCACTAGTCACAGGTTCAGCATTTCAGGACAAGTCCCAAATCAGGATTATTTTTAGCATGAAAATTTTTATTTCTTAAATGTCTAAACTTTGTTTAAAATTTTTAAAATATTCTGTAGGCCAAAAAAATCATGAGCTTGGATAGATGTGTTTGTGTATTCCTTAGGAGGTATCCCCAAATTTAAGACTCTATTCCAAATAGTCTTTTAAGAAAAGATTTCATCCATTTCCCTGGGAGCACAAATCAACAAAACTCCAGAGTCAACCCAGTATTCAATGCAAATAGCAACCCCTGGAGTTCAGCAATGCTAGCATACTAGCACTAATTTTCCTAAAACACTTCCAACTTTGGGTTGCCTTATGAACTCTTTCCTATGATTTTGCTTAATAATAAAGGAGTTATTACTGTTTGTTATGACTACTGTATAAGTCTGTAAGAGAAACCATGAGTCATCAATGACAAAAAACTAATATGTCAAAAATATTTTTGGAGTATATTCATAAACTCCCTCACCTTTCTTCCGAAAGTATTTCAGAAGCCAGAGGAGGAATGACGTCAATGACAGGAGGGAGAATCCTGCAGCAGAAAGTCCAGCTGCCAAGGGAGTGCTGGACTCGGGGGGAGCTGCGGCAACAGAGGGGAGGATGGGCATGAGGAGCTGGCTTGAAAGTCTTTCTGTCCGTCCACTTCTCCTTTTCTATCACCTCGTTCCCAGGAGCAGAAGCCCCATCTGGTTCAAGTCATGAGGCAGAGGTGGCTAACCGGCCCTTTAGACCTGTCCAGCTCCCCCTGGCTGCCCCAGCTCTGCCAGGCAGAACTCTACCCTGCCAGCTCTTTCACACCCCTCACCCTGCCCTGCTGGACACTGTGCTGTACTTGCTCAGCCCCCCCCCCGCCCCCCGCCCCCCCCACACACACTTTCTGTTTCACCCTCTTCCTTTCCCCTCCAGGTCTTCTTTGCCACTGTTAGAATTCTGCCCATTCCGTCCACATGCCACATCTACCGTTTTCTTCCTGTCTCCATAAGCTTAAATATGTGCAGATGCTTAACCACTCTGATATGGGCCCAGTGCATCTTTAATTGCTTTAGTAAGACAGCTCCCTCGCTTCTCTCTGGTCACCCAGACAACCAGCATCAACCAATGCATTACCTTCACAGGTAGGCAGCGTCCCAGACCAGTGTCCTGTGGCACCACATGTCAGAGCTGCAGAGCCATTGAGCATCCAGCCCTCAGGACATGCAAACTCACACACAGTGCCAGACACAGGCTCCCCACTGCAGCTCATGTTGACCTTTCCTGGAGCTGCCAGGCTTGAACACTGTACCACTGCAAATGACAGGCACATGGGGGCGGGGGGTTAGGAAACATCTGCTGCAAACTTGTAAAGTGGCCCAAGTCACCGACAAGCCTAACTTATAAACACTACATAGAACTCAGCATGTGGGAAATTAGAATCAAGCCCCCTGAGACCACTGAGGCTCACAATCTTATGAGGCACGTGACCTGCACCCTCAAGTCTGAACTCACCCTACCTTGGCAGGAGGGGACCTCGTGTGTCCACTGCCCCTGAGATGTGCACTCCAGTTGAGCTGATCCATGTAAGTCAAAGCCATCGTCACAGTGGAAGGTGCAAGAGGACCTGTAGGTGAACTCTCCAGTAGGGGAAGGAGAGCACTTCACGGAGCCATTCAGGGGCACAGGGAGAGCATCGCACTGCACAGCTGGAAGGCAAGAGTGAGCCCTGTGGAGCCCCGTGTGCTGCGTCTCCAGGCAGCACCCCCGCCCTGGGCTCCCCAATAGCTTCTGTCTTAAAGCCAAGTAGAAACAAAGATGTTTCTTCATATCTGGGCTCTCTAAAATGGAGCAGGTACCAAACCGACCACATATATTGACTGAGAGAACAAGATTTACTAAAGATGACCACAGATAGAACTTTCCCTGGGGGTTTGGATGAGGTTATGGGAAACTGAGGCAGGGAGGGTGAGCTGGGGACGCCCTGTGCATTCTGGGGGAGATTTACCTCTGCAGGTGGGAAGAGGAGCACTCCATTCCCCAGAGGACCTACACTGGGTGGTCTCCACGCTGCTTGGCAGGTAGCCACTGTCACAGCTGACGGAGCAGGAGGAATTGTAGCTGAAGGTCCCAAAGGGTGAAGTGCAAACCAGCCTCCCGTGCTCAGGGTCTTTCTGTGCTTTACAGGTCACAGCTGGAAAAGGGACCCAAGTCAGTTCTGCCAGCTTTCACCTCGGACGGAGGGGGGTTGGGGGGATGGGAAGACAGGCTATGACTGGGTCCAGGGAAAGGAGGACCTGCAGGCCCGACTCCAGCCCACCTGGGGCAGGGGATGGTGCCTTGTCTCAAGTGAAGAGAAGGTGACGACACACTTACCGTGCTCACACTCGAGTCCACTGAAGCCAGGATGGCACCTGCAGGTGTAGTTGTTGATGGTCTCTGTACACTCCCCGTGGCCGCTGCAGGAGGCTTGGGTGCAGGCAGCTGCAGGAAACACAGCCGTGAGGACAGGTCTGTGGTGCTTGTGGGAAATTCCTCACAATTTAGGATCAGCCGCATGTAATGACGTCACCTAAGTTATGGGGTGCCCGAGATTTTAATGTGCCTCACAAAATGCCAAACCTGAGCTCCAGGTTCGTCTCCCATACTTGATGTTAATGTTGGAGGTGTCAGGAGGGGCTGCAACTACACCATGCACAGAGACTCCCTCAGCACACGTCACGAGACACTTCCCCTGACACAAGCAAACCAGCACCTGAGCTGCCACAGTGTGTCTATGTGGCATTCTGTAGGGGTGTGGCCTCCCCACGTGTGCTCACACTACACATGTGCACACGTTCTTGCCTACATCTGTGCAAAGGAGTAAAGGGGGGCCTTGGCAGGAACACCTGGTTTTCAAATCACATGTTTCAGAGCAAAGAGGCCACGGTAGAGACCAGTGGCTGCCACTGTGAGTCGTCAGGATGTGGCTGCCTGTGGCTCCCTACCTGTGTAGCACAGCGCAAGCTTCCTTTTACTGCATCTCTCGTCATTCCACATGCCGGAACCTTCTGGTCTCTTGATGTAGATCTCCACGCAGTCCTCGTTTTTCTGCTTATTATTGGGTTCTCCTGGAGCCCAGTTCTTGGCTTCTTCAGTCAGGGGCTTCTGGGTCCCCACCCAGATCCACACACCGTTGACTTTTCTGATGCCAATCCAGTAATAACTTGGAGAATAGCTCAAAGTGGCGTTCAGGTACTCGATCTCCTCTTTGTTTTGAATTGCGACCAGGTGTGTGTACCTTTGCTGACAGTAAGCACTGGCCTCATCATAAGTCATCCTTCTCCTGGACACATTGTAAGTCCAGCCCGCGCTGTCTTTAATGAGGAGCACTAGGGGTGGAACAAGAGAGAAAGGCAGCGTTTAGTCCTGCTGGGATTAACTCTAGCTCTCTGGGTCTTTATTGTCTTATTTATGCCAGTCTCTGGATTTGGGGTGACAAAATTTTTCACTTTTTCAAAAGTAAGAAGAGGCAATAAATATTAAAGAAACCAGAGTTTCCTGTGCATCACTTCTGTGGCCAACCACCCTCAGGGCTTTGTTGTCCCCACCTTCGTAACAAATTTGTTATTCTGCTGGTGACTCTGCAGTATCGAGCCCTTAGTATGAGCCACCAGGTGCGGTGTGAGGCACTTCTCAACTGAAAATAACATATTTTGGAATTTTATATTTGGAATATAAAATCACACAGTGCAGTCAGATTGTTGCCTTCTTCAAGTTTGTCGAGATGTCCCCACATGTACCTAAACTACTGTTCCATTGAATTGTCACAGTGCCTACGTAGGCCATTTTTGATCAACGTTTTACACATATGGAAATATGACTCTAAGAAGTGAATTTCCCTAGTGCCAGGCGGGAAGAGGCCAGGGATGCTGCTACACACCCTCTGCACAGGACAGCCCCACACGAGGAAGAATATCCTGGTCTACAATGTCAGTAGGGAGGCGATGAGAAACCCTGGTCCAGTGGTACCAAAAGTGAGAGTGGAGAATCTGACTTACCAAAAGTGAGAGTGGAGAGAATCTGACTTACCAAAAGTGAGAGTGGAGAGAATCTGTGAAGCAATCATGGCCTCAGGACTTCTTCTCACCGATGGATTGGACTTGAAGTACTTTCCTGGGGAGAAAAATTATTTACAGAAGGAAATGTTAGGCAGCCAATTACTCTAGTCATTCGAGCCTGGTGTTTAGGCACCAGCATAAGATTTGAGATAAAGGATTCCAGTGCCACAGCTTATTTGAGAGATGCTACTGGAATGAATGAATAAATTTTAAGATTGTCCTCATTTAGGTGAAAGAGAAAAGACAGGCTTTAACCACACTACAATTAAAGCTTGCACAGATCTCTTACCAGAGGCTGTTTACACATCAGTTCATTCTGATGAATCTGTTTCATGGCCCAAGGCTGCTCTTGCAAAGGAGTCTGCACTTACAGTTCTGCGCGGTGCTCCTCGGCTCACACTGCTCAGGTGTGTTGGGATGCTTCTGTCTCCTGATCCTCTGGCACTTGTGATGTGAAATCAGCCAAGCCAAGCCCTGTTGAGCTTCGCCTCTGCTGGGCCCTTTATAGCAGGGCTCACATCCTGTAAGCAACAGGAGACTGTCCAAATCCAGCCAGGAGGAAATTCCCAATGACATCCAGAAATTTTCCCGGAATATCCACAATGCTAAAAATTACAATGATCTCAGAAGTGCTGCCCCTCGAAGTTAATTCTCCCTCATTCTGCCTTTGTGTTTTACATACACTTTTACTAATAGGACACAGACGCCTGGCTTTCAATTCTAATAGCATAACGTCTAGGTCTTTAAAATGTTTTTAATAAGACTTTATTTATCGTTGTGGTACTCATGTAATTGTGGCACCAATCAGTTTCATAAACACAAATTACCTAAGGATTTCGGTCGTCTGTGGTTCTCCATCCTCAATTTTTTCAACCGTAGCTGTCCATAATACATGAACAGTCACTTTCTATTTCTTGTTCAGCCACCAACTTAACACATTTTATTGTGCACTGTCTCCCAGGGGAGTCATCAAAAGGCAGCATTACTCCTCAGGTTCTGCGCACTGGCTACAGCTACGTTACTTAGAGTAATACCTTCCACTCAAATATTTGAAACAGCACCTTGTTTTCACAAACTGAAACATGGGAAATACATTTGTATGTTCATAGTTAGGTCTGTAGAAAAATAAAGATTTCAAACTACATTTAGTTGACACAAATTTTATTTAAAAATATCTTAAAATGTGAACTGAAAAGAATAAAAACTGGGGCAAAATGTTAACAGTGACCCCTTTGAGCTGGAAACTTTGAGGCAAATTTTATATCCTTCATGATTGTTTTCAACATTTTCCACTTTTTGTCATGACTCTTTCTACATTATTTTTTTTTTCCTACAGAATTTTCAACATCTGTGTTCAAATGCCACTGAGAGGGATGTACATAGAGTCCTACGTTCCTGCTCTTCAGAGTAGCACTTCTTTTGGGTGGATACAGCCACATCCGTTCCCATCTGGCATCTTATCTAATTTAAGTGACAGTGACAGCAAGTGGGTTATTTCTGCTCCCATGTTCCTGGGGTTTAGATTTCAAGTCAAGTTAACTTCTATGAATCCATCTTCTTCAAACAGAGGTCTCCAAAGGCCTCTCAGCCGACATGGGGGCAGGGTGGGAGAGGCCTCCTTTTCCTCTTGCCTTGTGTGTTCTTCAGCTTTTTGTGTTCACAAAGATACCAATTCTGGACCAAACTAGAAAAAACAAGAAAAATTTCAGTGAATACACTGATTAAAGCAAGGAAAAAACCTTCACTAGTTTGATCCAACCTCTGTCAGAAAGCCTACGTTAGCCAGGATTGAAAGCCACCTTCCTACTCTGTTTGTTCCAGATACTGAAGTCATTCCAACTTGGCGTCCCACTTGTCATTACTAGATATGACTTTGTTTCTCACCTGTAGAAGATAATCACTCAAAGTTGACTCAGATTTTAGGGGAGGATGCAATGCTGGGGTCGTACACAGTCTGTCTTGGTATATGAGGTCATACACAGTCTGTATAGGTTTTTTTTTTTTTTAATAAATTAGGAATACATCCTCTGGTTTTTTTTTTTTTTAAAGCATGGTCAAACATGCATTGAAGCCAAACCTCAAGAGAAAATTTGTCTGACATATTAGTGAAGGGCCTAATAAGTATTTTGTAAGTAGAAATTGGTTATAAAAAGTCCTAGATAGGGGCTAAGGTTGTAGCTTAGTCGTAGAATGCTTGCCTTGCATGTGTGAAGCACTGGGTTTGATCCTCAGCACCACATAAAAAATAAATAAATAAAATAAAGATATTGTGTCCATCTACAACTAAAAAAATATTTTAAAAAATCCTAGATAATCCATTTGCTTTTTGGATTTTTCATAACTAAGTACACAATTAATCTCTTCTCTTTCTTTAATTTGGAGATATAAATAGAGATAACCCAATTGTGATCTGTTCCTATTTCATTTACAAACATGAGTCCTAGACTGGCAACTTTGTCCTCTAACCCTTTGAGTCCTCATTCTGTGTCCAGCCCTGTTCTTTCTGCAGCAACAACAGCAACAGGTAGTAAGTGGACAGAGGGGCGGGCGCAAGCCCAGCAGGCCTGGCTCTGCCTGCAGGGAGCCCTGCACCCTCAGCTGCACCTCTCTTGGGAACCTGACTCAAAAGCAAGTTCCCTCCAAGGCCAAAGGGCAACATGATTGTTGGAAATTTGTACTGAGAAAGCTTCCAGGAGAAATTCAGTACCAGAGGAAGGAAGGGAGAAAGGGGTGAAGAGTTGGGCGAGGAAGGTAATTAGTGCACAGATGTTTCAACCAGGGGTAAATCCACTCACCCTAACAATCATCCTGCATTCTGCCAGGGTGTTTCCTATGTCCCTGTCCCTGGGTGGGTGCTGGGAGCTGCAGGGCTTTCCTCAGGCTCCCCAGGGTCACTGAACAGGCCACAGACTGACCTCCCCTGGAGAGGCCCCAGGACTGCAGGGGCCAGGGGAGGGAAACAGGGGGACTCTGAGCTGCTCTGTTGGTGCTGTCAGGATCTCCGCAGGGCTCTGACCTGGGCAGGGGTGGGAGGGCTAATGGGGAGAGACTTGAGTAGCTGGAGCTGTTGACTGTTAACCACCTTCTACACAATTCAAAATTCCCCCAAGAAACAGGCCAGTGAGAGGGGCCTCCGTTCCACTGTGTCTCCCAAGCTCTGAGGATGTGGCTGAGTGTCCCTGGGACAACCTCCCTCTTGGGGATCCCTCCCCCACCCCTCCATGGGGGAGAGGAAAGGAAAAAAAGAACAAGTGCAGACACAGGCGCAGCCCAGATTGCGCCTCCTGGGCTGCACTGTCCCCTCCCAGGCGCCAAGGGTTCCCACTTGATCTTCCCTTTTCCTGGAAGTCCCTTGTCCTGCCCCCCACGCCCTTCAATTGGAGATGGAGATGTTAACCACCCCTGCTTCTGTGCCTGGGCCCAGACATTCTCATCTCCATGGCAAAGGGGCACCCCTGAAGGAGGGAGGGAGGGCCAGCCTGAGGATTGGGGTCCCCAAGCAAATGGAAAGTGAATCGTTTCTAATCAAAGAAAGGGAAGAGCCCCTGACAAATTGACACCAGTGTGTATATGTATATTTATTAATTTATTCTCTTTTCTCCTCTGTTCTCAGAGGACTCAGTAATTCCATTAATTCTCCTTGAGCTTCCTGGATGATTCTGAGACTTAGAATTTGGATTGTATTTTGTGTTTCCTGTTTGGCAGCACCTTATCTGGAAGCTTCTGCTCTCTGTGTAGGGATTTAAGGACTAACTAATGGGAATATCTTCAAAATGAGCCAACTCTGGTGAATTCCCAGAGAGGAAGAAAAAGTACGGGTGGGCAGGTTAATTAACAAGACTTTTCCTGAATGTGGCCGGACAGCTAACCATTGTTAACAGGAGAGAAAAAAATACCCCTGATTTCAGAAAAGCCCCCTGGCTTGTTGTCCTTGGCCCCTCGTGCTGCTTATTTTGTAATTCAGAAGTTTCCTTAAGGAGTATTATTAGCTTGTTCTCAGGACTCACATTAGCATTGTCCACCTGGTCACTTTTTAAAGCATCACTTTGAATTTATTCTTTCACAAACAAAATGAAACAATTCCAAATGGATCAGAAAGGATACCAAGTGGTGATGAAAAGAGGCCCTATTTTTCTCCCCCCCAAAGTAAAAATAGGAGATTTCAGAGAAGTAGAAGAATATCCTAAATTTTCTTGATCTCTATGACTTGATAGTCGATGTGGCTCATTAGATAAGCAAGCATTTTGTATTTGGGAAGGTCTGTATTAATCTGATAGCAATGAAAGTTAAATGCTGTGATTTAGCACAAGAGATTACTATTTTGCATTAATTACCTCTGTGACTTCTGGGAGCAAGTTGTTTGTTTGTTTGGTTGGTTTTGCCTCATCAAGTCTCAGATTCCCCATCTAGGAGCCAAGCCTGCTTGACTACAGTCCTGATGGCTGTGATGTTAGGACCTAATAATGACTATGAGAAAACACTGTTTTAAGACAAATTGTTCATTATGTTTCCTAGCTGTGAAGTTTTAGAATAGTTCATATCATGATCTATATGATAATCAGTGTCATCTGAAGACACTTTACAGACATTTCTTCATGCAAATTTTTAAGTGAAAAGAGGAGTGCAGAGGAGGAAACCTGGGTTATTCACCTAGACAAGCTTTTCAGTGATTAAATGGCAGAGCTGGGATTCACATCCACATCTGTATGATTCTGACACCTGTGCCCTCTTGGTCACTTCATACCTGCTTAACGCAGATCTCAGCACGGAAGTGACCCTTAGTTCTTATATAAGAAAATGTTGTAGAACTCCCTCACCACAGCTCTGGAAGCTTAGTGTCCTCGGCTGGGAGTTTTTGAAGCAGATCCTAAGACACGGAAGTGCTGCCAGTTGTGTATTTGGGAGGTGACCCCAAGAAGCAGTTCAGGGGAGTGAGGGGGTGAGACCAGGAAGGGAAGGAATTCAACAGGTTGATCATCAAGTCACCCTGTGGGCAACTGGGGTTCAGTCTCTCAGGGAACTCTAGGGGACAGTGCAGAAAATCTCAGAATGCCCCAGTAGGGGCAAGAGCAGTCCTGGGGCAGGGTTGCCCCTGCAGGGGTGGTAAATTCCAGATGGACTCCTGTGGCCAGAGGAAGTGCTCCACAAGGAAGAGCAAGGCTTGAGTTCAGAGGTGACAGCATCTGCATGTATGCTGTGTGGGTCATGGTGGGCTGCTTGTTTTCCATCATCCCCTGAACACGTTACTACACAGTCAGTGGCTGCAAACCACACACAGTTACTATTTCAGAGATTCTGGGGCAGGACGTGGAAGTTGGCTGACCCATGGAAAATTAAAAAAAAAAAATCGAGTAGCCTGTGGGTGGCAGAATTGGGACCCACACCCACTCCTCTGTGCCACCCCGTGTGCTCCTGCCTGTCGCTCTGCCACTGCTTTAAGAGACCCGCGGCTTTGCTGCCCTACCCTGACTCCGCAGCCTCCCAGCTGTCTGCAG